TATAAACCCTGTTGCATGACAATAATAATAAAATAAAATTAAAAATAGATTTTATATGATATAATATATTTATTGTATTATTATTTATTTATTAATATAGTTTGCTGTGTTGCAGGTTGGTTTTATAAACCCTGTTGCATGACAATACAATAAAATATAATAGATTTTATATGAAATAATATGTGTATTATTATTTATTTAACCCTTTAGGCGCCAGGGTTTTTTTCCTAAAACGTTCGATTTTGACATCTTAATTTCAAAAGGCTATATCTTAAAAGTGATAAAAGATAGAGACTTTCTGTAAATTAGAGAAATATTAAGGATGACCCAAAGTTTATGTAGGGATTACATTTTCCCATCTAATTTGCATATTATGACGTCATATGGTGGTGGCAATCTTGGATTATAGAATTTGCATGAAAAGTCACATGTTTAATACTATAGTTTTCTATGTTGGAGGTTGGTTTTATGAACCCTGTCGCATGACTATAAAATAAAAATAGTTTTTTTATTAAATAATATATTTATTTTTTTATTATTTATTTATTAGTATAGTTTTCTATGTTGCAGGTTGGTTGTATAAACTTTGTTGCAATAAAATAAAATAAAATGAGATTTTATACAATAAATAAATTATATGAAATAGTATATTTTTACAAATGCATTATTATTGGGATAAAATAGGGATCTTCTAGATCTCCAAACACATTTTCACAGATGAAGAGAGTGACAGAGATTGCACAAGAGGTTTCCTTTCCTTTTATCTAAATAATACCATACAATTACAAAGAAAATATTAGATACAATAACATGAGTTGTGTCTATTAGGAATTTCAAAGTTAAGACATTTTTTTTTTTTTTTGCAACTTCAGCATGCAATTTAGAGAATTAGTATCTGCTTAAAGGGATACTCCACCCAAAAATGAAAATTCTGTCATCATTTACTCACCCTCAAGTTGTTGCAAACCTGTATGAGTTTCTTTCTTCTGCTGAACACAAAGAAAGATATTTTGAAGAACGATTGGAACTTTGGCACCATTGACTTCCATGGTATTTTTTTTCTAAGTCAATGGTGCCAAACAACCGTTTGGTTCCAATCGTTCTTCAAAATATCTTCCTTTGTGTTCAGCAGAAGAAAGAAACTCATACAGGTTTGCAACAACTTGAGGGTGAGTAAATAATGACAGAATTTTCATTTTTGGGTGGAGTATCCCTTTAAAAAAGTACTTAATATGTATTTTCTGAATGCCTGTGTAAATCTCACGCAACAATGGTAGGGTGTTTTACACAATGAGCGATAGTGGGACATCTCTTTCACTTCCATCATATAGTCCGAAATTCTAATTGGAATCCTTTTGGATTTTTTGTTTCACAATAATTAGGAACCAATTCAGACCCAGACAGCAACATAGTAGTGATGTAGTACTCGAGCCGAGACCGGTCTCGAGACCGATTTCTGCTTTCTCGGACTCGTCTCGGACACGGCCCTTCAAAGACTCGGTCTTGACTCGGACTCGGCATAGGCGGTCTCGTCCCCATCACTACAACATAGCAACACAGCAACAACTGTCCAGGTACTAGATGAAAAATAGTCTCTTGGCTAATTCTGGCGCATTTGCATTTATGCTTATCAATGTGCATTGTCCCTGCTAAATTAAACTGTTTAAATAAATAAAAATAAAATAGTGTCGCCCCAGATCCGGCCCACAAAGTGTTGAATCCACATGTACCAGATGTGGCCCGGATCTGGGCCGACACTATGTTGCGGTCTGATGAAGTACTGTTCATTTAGAGCATTCCAACATAAGAACATTATTCCAATACAGCAAGCAAGATATTTTTCTTGTAGTAATTTCAGTTTATCCAGTTGGATTTGATTAATTCTAAGAGGATTTATTATTTGATCCCATCTCGATTCTAAATTATGACAGAATTCCAATTGGAATCTTTACACATTCGTTTAGGATCTTAACCGTAGATGAAAGATCTGGATCAGAGCCTCAGTGGAGCTCGTGAACCTTCAGCCTTTCAGCTGGCATCTCAGATCTCCGACCACACCCCCACAAACTTTCTCTCTTTCATCTTTCTGTTGGCGTTCTCGCCATCTTTGCCTGCCTCTGAAGTTGGAGTGATCTGTGCGTGTTAGCGCTGTGATTTAATGCTCCTTTGAGGTTTCAGGGCTGCGCAATCTTCCTCGTGGAGGGAGTCCGAGTCTCCGCCGGCTGGATTTCATTTTGATCATTAAGATCAGAATTAGCCGTCTGACTTTCACACTTCAACCGTGTTAAGCTGTTTAGAGAGGCAGAAACACTGGGATGTGCCGCGACTACTGATGCTCCCCAAAATCAGCTATTTCCACAACCATTACGAGCCACTTTCACGCCTTAATTTACACAAATCAAACAAATTAGGGAACCGCAGCGCTTATTAGACTTGTGTTCTTCATCCACCACGTGCCGGCCTTTCGTTTGAACGTTCAATCAGAACCACATTCTGTGCTCAAGTTTCAGTCCAAGATTAACCGGTTTGAGGTCTTCCATGGGTAATTAACCCAGTTCCTGTCTGTATCTCTCTGGCTTATCAACGATAGAGCTCCAATTAAAACACAGATTCTAGAAGTATAGCTTTACCGCCATCAAATAAACTACAGCACACAAGACTAGTAATTTATCCTGATAGATAAAACAATAACATCCCGATAGAATGGATCTGATAGGATCAGCGTGATGGGAACTGTGGCTGGAAGACTGCATGTACTATGGAACTGAAAAATAATAACAATCTAAAGTATGAGCTATGTGCTGTTAATAACTAATATCATCTCGCCCTGAATGGTACTGTCAGACTCAGTGCTCACTCGTTTACTTCCTGTGATCGTTCGCCTCCTTGAGGTGGTGGTTCACATCACTGGCCTTGGCATCCAAACAACTGAATCAGAAATGCCTATAGATATGTGAAATTTATATATATATATATTAATGTGTATGTATGTGTGTGTGTGTGTGTGTGTGTGTCTCTGACTCAGGCTCTGGGACAGGGCTCAGGGAAATATATATATATATATATATATATATATATATATATATATATATATATATATATATATATATATATTGTATGTGTGTGTGCGTGCGTGTGTTGAATTTATTTAACATGTTTAATTTCTCATTTCAAATTGTTTGCATATTGGCAGACTATTTAATTGCAATAAACTTGCATTATAAGAAGTAAACATTTATTATATTGAAATATACAGCTTATGGAAAATATGAATATTATAAAAATATTTTTATTGTTACTTTGTTATTATTTATTATATTATCCTCCACAGCACAAATGGTGCACGGCAAACAAGCAAACACAAAAACTAAACAGAAATAAATTAAATTAAATGAAATGTACAGCTAAAGCAAAATAAATAATATATACAAAAAAACGTTTAATTGTTTTATTGTGTACAGCACAAATGGTGCAGGACAAAATAAATGAAGTAATAACATTTAAAAATGTGTTTATTAACTCTTCACTGCACAAATGGTGGAGGACAAAAAAAAAAAAAAAAAAAAAAAAAGATTAAATAGGAAAATATTAAAATAAAGTAAATTTAAAGTAGCAATTTACAATTGTCGTTTAGATAGCCAAAAGACCATTTTTATGCATTTAACCCCATTGACTTTATCATTGTGTAGTCGGGCAGAATGCCTCTCCTTCTGAGGCTGGCTGTAATACATCACTCTTATCTGTGTGTGTGTGTGTGTGTGTGCTGGAAGCGTCTGTGGCGATCGGGTAGCCATGACACTGAGATTACCTCTGGAGTCGGAGACCCCTGGAGAGAACAGGCTGTGCTCTTATTTGTGGATATTGCTGCTCCTAACCGCACCTGGGCTTGTATCTTAGACACATACAGCTCAAGACGAAGGCGCTGGTCTGTTTTATAGACCTAAAACACACCAAAAGCAGAGATTCAGGGATAGTGGGTGAGTAAATGTTTTCCTTTAAGCATTCAAACACAAACAAGACTCACGACATTGGAGGATAGATACATGATCTTTAATGCAACTGACACACTGCCTCAGGAAAGTGACTTGGTTTGATATCTTGTCATGTAATGCAGTGAAATTGAGACTTTTTAAGTGTGCTGTGTCTCATTATCTTCTCTGTAAGAGCTTCCCACATCATGGATGGATGGAAAACCACAGGGAAGACCAGCATGCCACAGCTGGTGGTGAAGATTGTTGGTGGGAAACAAATTAGGTATTTTATTGAAGGGACCAAAAGGTAAATTTGTTCTTTATTCTTTAAAGAATTTCCCCACATAATTAAAAAGTATAAAATGATATACATGTATACATGAAATACATTTTTACATGATGTATATTATTAGTGTATAATAATTATTGTGTAATATTATTATAGTAATGTATAATCTATTATTATTGTATAGAAATATAACAATACATTGTATATATATATATATATATATATATATATATCATTTATTATTAATATTAATTTATTATATTACTATATAACAATTATTACTATTAGTATTGATCCGAATAATAATATTATAATAATAATAGCAACATTTAATTATTAAAAAAAATGTTAGAGAAATTGCAAAACATCAGAAACCATACATAATTACATATATTACTATATTTCTGAATTAATAATAATAATAGTAATAAACATGGTTTAATTAAAATGTATAATTTATTATTATTATTCAATTAATTATTATTACTATTAGTATTAATAATAATAATAAACTATATTATTCAATTATTTTTTTAAAATTGTTAGAGAAATTGCACCTTTTTTATAAGTTTATATTTTTTGTTTTATTATTTTATAATAATAATAATAATACGTTTATTATTATTATTAAGTAATAATCTCTGACAATTAATAGATAAAAGCTCAAACTGTTATATAGTCCTACAGCTCATCTTGAGGAAACGGACAGCTCTGAGGACAGAGACAGTCCACCTAACAGAGTCACGGATGGAGATTTAAGCAGAAGATCACCATCTCATGGCCTGGAGCCTCTGGGACCATTCGAGCAGACAGAGAGCCTGTTAGATGCCCTCAGACAGGTACTGAGAAAAATCAGCTAAAGCATTAATACAATGAAATATAAATATAATATCTACTCATAAACAAAAAATATTTTTTAACAGCGACTTGCATTTCTGTGTGGTTGCAACTGGCCAGTTTTTTACATGACTTGAGATCAGTTCAGGCTGATGTATGATTGCACTGTGCATTGGACTGAAAATACTTACCAATCAAAATAATAGCGCTGACATCCACTTCCCAATGTTCATTAGAAGAAAAGTCCTCTAGAATAAACGCTTTCTGAAGCTCCTCCTGAAGATGTCTGGATACTAATGGTATGGTAATGATCCAGGTTCCAGACAGACGGTGTGTGACGGCACCATGTGGAGATCACTCGCGCTCCTACATACATCTGAAGTCCACAACCAACCTGGCTTATTCAAAACAACTCATGCAAACTCCTCATATTACAGGGGCTGAGGTGAGATATCATGTGCATGCTGTCTTTAATGGTACATTTTTTTTTATGTTTTAAAAGAAGGATCTTCTGCTCATCACAGCTGCATTTATTTGATCAAAAAAACAGTAAAAACAGTAATATTGTTAAATATTATTACAATTTAAAAAAGCTGTTTTCTATGTGAATATATTGTAAAATGTAATTTATTCCTGTGATCAAAGCTGAATTTTCAGCATCATTACTCCAGTCTTCAGTGTCACATGACCCTTCAAAATTTACGCATTTGGAAACCGTGATACTTCAGGATTCTTTGATGCATAGAAAGTTTAAAAGAACAGCATATATTTGAAAATGAAATCTTTTGCTACATTATAAAAGTCTTTTTCACTTTTGATAAATTTAAAGCATCCTTGCTGAAGGATGATGATTAGAATAGTCTATTCTAAATTAAAAACCCAAAATGATTGACCTTTTTCATCATGTCCAGACAGAGGAGCCAGTTAAATCAGGTCCGGAGCGCTGCCTCCTCTCCTCTGTCTCGGAGGAACTGCAGGACTGGGAACCACAAACATTCCAGAGCATTGAGGAGGAAGTGACATCACTCGACCCGTCCCAATCAGGAATCCTCCATCAGTCGGTCCTTACATACCTCTTCCTCAGACTGAAGATCCCTCTGAAGCTCAGCACACTGGCCTGCATGTTCAGATCCTTCAGGAACACCAGCGACCCGGAGCAGGTACATCACTTATCATCAGTTACAGCAAATATTATTATTCAACTAGTCATTGTACAGTTTCAGGGGCATTTGCATTTAACAAAATGAAACCCATCGATTCATGTTGTATTCATTTATTTTAATTCTGATTTCATATACAAGTCACTCTTATACACCATTGCTTATTTTCATAAATAACCTGTTTGTTTGTTTATTATTTATTTATTAATTCATCCTTGACATCAATTTTATGACAATAAAACATACTTGTATTAAAATATGGGTTATATAGGCCTATTATATATATATATATATATATATATATATATATTTTTTTTTTTTTTTTTGCATTTTGGGTTGAAACATGACATATACTGTATATGTTTTATGATTATTACCCAGTTTTCCATTTTGACCCTTTAAATAGGGCTTTTAAATAAAAAATTTCCAATATGGAAAACTAAGTGAATCTCGTATAAACATATACAAGTCATGTTTCACCCAAAAACCAAAAAAAAAAAAGAAATTATATTTTGCATGAGGACAAATAATCACATTTTAATACAAAGACGGGCCATTTTATATGTGTCTTCTGACAAAGAAAAAAAAATCTTATTTTGCTACTTTTACTCTTTTCTAAAAATTAAAAAATGTTGCTATCAGCCTCAAAGTTTATCTTTTCTGTGACATGCCTGCTTTCATACACTTTCAAAATTAATTATAAATTAATTGGACTTTTAAAATATTAATTATACGATAATTTATACAATTAAGCTATAGTTAAAGTGTTTTTAAGCATATATGGTATTCTACAGGAATTAGTTGCACTGAATTTTGTCTGTTTTCATGTGAAAGTGATGATAAAAATGTTGTATGATGTTCAGCGCATTGTACTCACCATCACACTCTACAGGTGCAATATAAAGAATTGCTGCAGTTCATGCAGAGAGCTGTGCAAGATGAGACAGAGCAAAGTGTTGAGGTCTGTAAATGAGCCTGATAAAAGTACCCAGAGAATTATCTTGTCGGCGGTTTTCTGAAATAAAAAAGATATTTTGACCATGATCCCCTTTAGGTCGAGATCTGGGATGCGTCAGTGGCCAGTACTGACCTGGAATCAGTGATCAGTGTGACTGCAGACCGAAGAGAAACGTGGCTTCAGAGGTTCCAGAAGATGGAGATGGCCTTAAAAATGAGTGACACCAAAAACACAGGTATAAAGCCTATCATAGAAATACAGTCTATCTGGTCCCAGGATGCTCATTTTAAACCTATTATGTTTTTGTTTTGTTTACATGTTCATCTTTCTTTAGTGTGTAATGTTGCTGTTTGAGCATGAAAAAGCTCTGTAAAGTTACAAAGTGCCTCAAAAGGGAGTTATTCTCTATATCAGTGTCAGTGTTTCTGAACTCCCTGAAACGCCTCCATTTTAGTCTTGAGTTTCTTCCAGGAACGAACGAGTCACAATATTCCTCATTTATATAATTCATACGCAGAACAAAGGGGCGGGGCCTGGTTGAGTTAGTTAGTAGTGTGTTGAAACCAGCCCGTTCTCATCCCAAGGCTTCATCTAACTGACGCTTTTGACCATGCGTCAACATGCCGACGCACATGGTACCCCTTAAGCGTCAATATGAGATGCGCCTCCTAGTGGTCTAACCCTAACCCTACCCCAGACCTAAACCTACCCATAACGGAAGCGTCATCTAACTGACGCTAAAGGGTGCCATGTGCGTCGGATTTAGACACATGGTCAAAAGCGTCAGTTAGATGACGCCCGAGGATGAGCGTCTCATATTGACCCTTAAAGGGTACCATGTGCGTCGGCATGTTGACGCATGGTCAAAAGTGTCAGTTAGATGACGCCTTGGGATGAGAATGTGTTGTTGAAACTCGTGGGTATGGTAAGGGGCGGGACATTTCCCAAACATGCTCAAAGCACTCGACCAATCACAACAAAATCAAGGCTTTGTGAAAGGATATGATATCGCCTCTTTAAAGCTACACTGTGTCATTTTTTAAGTTGATTCTTAGCAAAAAACACTTTGTGCTTTCAAAATTATATGTGCTCGTTCATGTGTAATTACTTCCACCAACTAATCAAGTATTCTCGTAAGCGTAGAATCTGCCATTCAGAATACATACGACCGAGTCGCTCCAATGGCCGAAGCCATGTTGTGCATCCATCTTGAAATTACATTAGCCAAAGAGGGACATACCTGCTATAAAAAAAAAGGCTGAAAAAAAGCCTATACTGTAAACATTGCCTTACACTATTAATCTCGTACAATATACAGAATAAAGATAGCACTGATACTTACTAACATTAGTTTGCATTCAATTGGGAACCTGATAGCTGATGTTAGCAATAAAAGGGTACCAAAATAAGGAAAACGTTACAATTATTATTCATTTTACGTAGAGGTCATAACCTACAAGTTAACTGACTAAATAACTAAATGCAATTTGTAATAGTTTTCTAAAGTAACCTCATCACTTGAAGGAACACTCGAAGTCGAACTGGAAGCCATGTTAATCTTGGAATAATATGGCCACCGAAGAAGTTAAAACGCCCTTAGAATGGGAGTAATATTCAGTTGGTAGTCATATACTATTTCACTGCTAGATGGGGGAAAATCTTACACAGTGTAGCTTTAAAGCTTTTTTTTCAAACAGCGACCCCTAGAGTCGCTGTGGAGTACTTGTATTTAACGTTACTGTCGTAAATACCACTCACACAGAGCATCTCTGCACCAAGGGGGTAATCCACCAGCCGGAAACCGAAGTCTCCCCGGACGCCGCCATTGGCTAACAAGCCTTCACCTGCTGTTAGCACTCCATTGACTCCCATTCATTTTGGTGTCACTTTGACAGCGAATAACTTTACATCAGAGGCGTTTAAATACTCCATTTGTCCATTGTTTATTTATAAAGAAACACGACAATGTATAAAAGGCTCCATTACCTTGTATCTTATGTTATGGCCCCGTAGAAGCAGTTTTTGTAAAAATAAGCTAACGATTGAGTCATAACACAGAAATTACCGTATAGACAGGAGGAGAAGCTCATCTAAATCTGGGGGACGTGGAGGAATAAAGTCAAGGGAGAAGCCCATAGAGAGTCATAAAGTTGCTCCTGCTCATGGACAGCTCCTACTCACGCTCTCCGTCTCTGCAAGATTCGGAAGGGAATGATTCAGATTCCTCTTGGCACAGCCACTAGAAGGTCAGACAGGTTGCTCACACCACATCTATGTCGTCAAGCTCAGTGTGAGCCTGCGCAGTCGCTCAGCCATCAAAGAGTGAGTGCTTCTAATTGACTTCACTTTTCTCCGTTGAAGTCTATGGGGTCGCTGTGTCCATTTCTTTTACTGTATATGCTCTGCACTCACGGCCTGAGACCCCTTCGAAGCTGTTATATTAAGGTACAAATCTTGCATAGTGTGCCTTTAAATAAGAGATGTGTTTTTGAACTCAACCTGAGCGCTCGTGTCCGCTGCTATCAGTGTCATGGATACATAGTGTCTCTTGTGGCGGCGTGCGCGCAGTCTTCACTCGGACGCGCTCTTCAATCTATCGCAGTTGCGGAGACTCTCTATTCATTCCGGTGAAATCACTAAATAAAATGCACACAAACTTAGAAAGATTTACTCACTAGTGCATCAACAAGATCGCCAGGTCAGCATCACTGTTGCATCCAGTCCTGCTTTTTAGCTCACGCCAACAAGTGAAAAGCTTGACGAGTGGGACTCTTGTCCGGTTCCTCACGCGGCACAGATTCTCTTTTTTTCCTTTTCCTAGTCTCTTCCGACCGCGTTTTCTATGCTTTTTCCGTCGTCGAGTATCACGTCTGAAATGCGCGCAAGTGTCTTCGTGCTTCATATGTTGTTGTTGATGTGTGTGACGTCATTGCCGTAAAGCATGTCGAGATTTGTCGGGGGCGCTCTTCTCAAACTTGCATTGCTGATTTTTCCAGCAGCGTCCCCCCCAAGCTTTACTACCAGGATGATTCGCCCTACTATGAATTTGTTTACCACCGTAATGACTTTGAAGCTGTTATATTAAGGTACAATTCTTGCATAGTGTGCCTTTAAAGCCTTTTAAAAGTGTGATGGACTAAGAAACAATAGTATTTTCTAAGTAGAGATGATGTTTTCAACACTGTTTTTCAGGTTATGTGGACAGAGGTCAAGCCAAACGTCTGATACTGAACTACAGCCTCATCTTTGATCTGAATCTGAGTCCACTGAAGATCAATGAAATCACACGTAACACTCAGCGAGAGAGCAAAGTTCACCTCGCCTCAGCTCTGCAGCAGCTGAAGGAACTATAAACCTCTTGACCCTTTTCTTAAATCTATGCACATACTACAGCATTACAGTCATCCTTAACCACTCTGGAAAATATTAATAGTGACCCTGTAAAAAGGGCTTTTAAATGAAAGCTGAATAAACAGACGTCATGTTTCACCCAAAAATCAAAAAAAAAAAAAAAAGAAAATGAATCCTATTTTATTACTAAATGCTTAATTGTCATGCAACAAATGTTGCGACGGATGGACAGATATTTTTTTTTCTAAGCAAAGTATAATTTCTTGTTTTCGTGACATTAACGCCGATCCCTGAAGAGGGAACGAGATGTTACGTGGTTTGACGCTGTAGGAATAATCTGCGTGACTGCGTCGTAAAGCACGTGTAAAATCAGTCCAACATTGGAGCTCTGATTTGGAACATTGATTAGTAGCAATGCAAATATGTCTTGGTTAATAATTTAGAATTAAACATTGCACATCCATGATTAAGTTTGTGCACCTTAGACTTAAACTCAAGTTTGTTATTAGGTACCACAGGGCCTGCTGATTATATAAGACAAATCAAACCATGATGTAATATTGCAGATATAACATGATTTAACATCTGTTCAGACTGTGGAGAATGACCATGTTGTTTGGAGACGCATGTCACATGATCAGGTAACTCAACCAGTTCGACTACTTTAAACACATGGACAAATGCACATGTGAGATTTCTCTCCACCCATAAACCCACAACTGGAAGCTGCACTCTGGTGCAGAGTTTGACAGTACATTTACACATTATCTTTTCATTTTCCCCCAGTAACAGTGAACATTACTGTACTCACTTTAGACTTGAAAGTAATGCTTCATTCTCTTGTTTTATTTGTAGTAAAAGCATTTCACTATACAAATCAGATAAAACTACATGTGGATACATTTTATTATAAAATAAAATGCATGCATCAATAATAAAATAATGTAAAAAACTGTGCTTAAATGTTTAAAACTTTTTGCCACCATGAAACTAAAATGGACCATTCTTGTTTATGCAATACTTCTTGTATGATGTCAATCTGATACATTTCGGGTTACTGATGGTCACTCTTTAGTATCTCTGCTGCAGCAGATGATGTTGAAGGTCTGAGGAAGGCGGAAAAAACCCAAGATCCCATCTATGTCCAGAGGCTGTGGATCTGGTGGCCAGGAGAAATGAATCCGCTGTAGGAGAGACGTGATGTACAGGAAGAGCTCCGTCCTCGCCAGCGTCTCACCAAGACAGACCCTCGGACCTGATAAACCAGCACATAAATATTTAGGCCTAAATTTCAAGATTTATGTATTTGCGTTGCAAATAAAACTTCCATCCATTTAGATTACAGAGTTTTAACTAAACAAACTAGTAAAATTATTGTGATGCATATTTGTCAGTCATACATAAATTAAAGATTTCCACACTCAGAAATACATGACATCATTTATTACTAATTGCATGTAATTGATTCAGTTTAAATAATTTTAAAACAGCATAAATCATTGAGAAAATAAATTACATTTAGTTATAAAATATGAACATGCATATTACTCTGTGGAACAAGCAATTTTCAGTTGTGTGAGACTCAAACAAATTGGATTAATTGATGATGATTATTGTGCATTTAAAGCATTCATTTTATAAGTACTAGAGAAACCTTACCCGTTTCTTTTATGTACTGCATGACTGACATATATGCATCACATATTATTTTGCATATGCTAAAACTGTGTAATCCAAAATGGATGTACATTTTATATGCAAAATACATAAATCTTATATTTAGGCCTAAATATTTATTTGTGTGTAATATTAGTCCAGTAACCTTTGTGTTTATTAATATCAGAAATGCCTGACTCACCCAGTGAGAACGGGATGAAACACTCCGGCTTGCTGAAATGTCCGTTCTCATCCAGGAAATTCTCTGGGTTGAAGGAGTCGGGATGCTTCCAGTGCTCCTTATTGCTGAAAATTGCTGCTAAGTTTGTTAGGATCATAGTTCCCTGTATGAGGAAAGTTCATCAGAGTTATATAACCTTTTCACAAAACCCAGGGGCATTTTTAACCTCCTATATTGTACCATGTTTCATAATGTAATCAGTCATAATTTACACTGGCTTATTGCTCTAACATGATAATATTACATACATATTTATATAAGATAAATTTAATTGATTGGACATGTGATGTAAATGTGTTATGTAATGGCCTCAGTATTGGTCAAAAGGGTATTTTAACATGAAATTTGCAGGAAAGTGCAGACGAAGGAAGCCCAGGTCAAAGATCATGTACACATCACATGATCAAATAATCTAGACTTACTGAAAAGTGCTTAACACAGTAGAACTAACAGTCATATGATTAGCTTATGATCATTACAAACCAATCACCAGCAGGGCCGTGCACAGAACTTTTGAGGGGAATGTGCTGAAACTGAAAAATACCAATATGCTTAATTCACTAAAGTCACTAAAATAATGCCATAATGCAAATGCATGAAAAACATCTTAATTGTCCTTAAAAATATATTTAAAGTCAATTTTATTTTAAAATAAATGGCTGTACAAGTGTTTTTCAGAGAAACGAGTATGTGAACTTAGCATGTTTCCTGAGTAATGCAAACATATGTTATTTAGTATGCTTTAGTAGAGTAAAAAAAAAGAAAAAGTTACAGCACCTTTAACTTCAGATACATTATTTTCAATATTCAATCCAGAAATTATTTTATATGTATATATATATATATATATATATATATATATAAATTAGACAGCATGATTATTGCACAGGTGTGCCTTAGGCTGGCCACAATAAAATACCACTCTAAAATGTGCAGTTTTATCACACAGAACAATGTTATAGATGTCACAAGTTTTCAGGGAGCATGCAATTGGCATGCTGACTGCAGGAATGTCCACCAGAGCTGTTGCCTATGAATTGAACGGAGATGGCTTATGGTAGAGAAATGAATGAATGCGTTTCAGAGAATTTGGCAGTTCATCCAACCGGCCTCACAACCGCAGACCATGTGTAACCACACCAGCCCAGGACCTCCACATCCAGCATCTTCACCTCCAAGATCGTCTGAGACCAACCACCCGGTCCACCCGGTCCATTTCTGCACAATCTGTCAGAAACCATCTCAGGGAAGCTTATCTGCATGCCTGTCATCATCGGGGTCTCGACCTGACTGCTTTTCGTCGTTGTTTTTCACTGTACAGGGCAAATGGCAGAACATGGCGATGTTCTGGATCCTGGCCATGTCCTGCCAATATCCAGCTACTTCACACAGCCATTGAAGAGGAGTGGACCAACATTCCACAGGCCACAATGGCCTTGTATTGTGGCCAGCCTAAGGCACACCTGTGCAATAATCACGCTGTCTAATCAGCATCTTGATATGCCACACCTGTGAGGTGGATGGATTATCTTGGCAAAAGAGAAGTGCTCACTAACAGATTTAGACAGATTTGTTAACAATATTTGAGAGAAAGAGACCTTTTGTGTACATGGAAAAAGTCTTAGATCTGAGTTCAGCTCATGAAAAATAGGGGCAAAAACAAACAAAATAATATATATAATATGTATGTGTGTGTGTAGCCTACAGCGAAGAGGGTAAGGCGTAGGTCTGACGCAGAAGGAAAGGGCAAAAAAAAAGTTCGATCCCCATGAAGATTTCGCTCATGTTTAAGTTGTTTAAACATGTTTAAGCGATTTGTGAAGGAATTGAGAATATAAAAATATTATATCTTTGGCTAAGCTCTTCATAATTGGTTATTTGTGACTCTGGTAGCATCTTTATTGCGAGGTTAACTGTATGAAGAGGCTGTGAAAATCCTTAAAGCCCTTGTCAACGAATAATTCAGCTGCTTAGATTTAAACATATTGCCAAGGAAAAGCCAGGGAGGAAGTCTATATTTTCAGTGCGTAATTACTTCATTCATACATTCCATTAATTACCTGAGGAATGTCATATCCTCGTAGTTTTGTGGGATGAATCGTTTCATGAGTCATCCCCATTGGTACAAGGTTGGCATTGCGCTGAATCTCGTGAACAGTGGCATAGGTGTATGGTAGTTTGTCACGGTCATCCATGCTGGGAAAGCGGTCGTAACCCAACACCCGAACAATCTCCTCGTGACATCGCTCTGTAAGAGATAAAAAGGAAGTTATATTTCATGGCGCTTAAAGGTTTGAGTCAAAGCTTTAGGTTTTGATGCTTAGCAATGGCAAAGGCCGCAGTGTGGGCCAATAATAGATAGAGCATCAAAGGCTGATCTATTTACATTAGGTTATTATATTAATAGAAAAATTTACCCAACCAAAAACAACATTCCAGCAAGCAGCGCTCCAAGATGTCTTCGTTGATAAGTTAGTACACTAAATGGTTCTGAATTAACTGCAGAAAAGGGGTGGTGCGTTGCTCTGTAAAATTTTGCGAATAACTGATTCTGAATTTCATTTAAGGCTGATTTATAGTTCTGCATCTAACCTACGTTATAGGCGAGTGTAGCACGTGTAGCCTTTGACGTATAGTCTGACGTGCACCTCCACAAAAATGTAACAATGCGTCAATTCTACACGGACCGAAAGTGCTGTGATTGGTCTGCAATAAGTGGATCAATCACCACAGAAGCAGCGCTTTGATCTGTCTGCATGTGTAATTGTGTGTGTCAATGCGGACAACAAGGCAGAAGTATAAATGAAAACCGATGTGTAGCCTACAGCGAAGAGGCTACGGCGCTTTATACTCTGTTATTGACAATGAAACGTTTATAGAACGCAAAATTTTGCTAATGTGACCACAATGGAATCTTGTTGTCTCACAAAAAAACCTTGTTTCCAAAATATAAATGGTCATTTTGACATCTCACAATTCTGAATTTTTTCTTGCAAGGGCAAGTTTCTCACACTTTCTGAGAGAAAAAAAAAACAAAAACTTCGAATTGAGAGATGAAAACTCGCTATTACCAGAAACAAAGTCAGAATTACTTGATAAACTTGCAATTGTGTGGGGGAAAAATTGTATACATTTTAAAGATATTTCTCTTTATTCAAATAATAAATATTATTTTATTAATGTTTAGCTCTAGTACCTTGTACATCTGGGTTTTTAATCAAGAAGATGAGCCCCCATCTGATAGTGGTCGATGTGGTGTTTGTTCCAGCCTGGAACAAATCAACTGTCGACATAAACAGGTTCTCCTCATGAAACGTGGAGCCTTCGTTGGACTTTTGCTGCTCCAGGTAAAAAAAAAAAAAAAAAAAAGTTTACTACAACTAAAAATATCTCGGTTTACATTTATGCATGAGAACCCTTTTTTCAGTAACTGATCTCACTTTCTCGATCTCCAGCAGGTAGGCATCAATGAAGTCTCGCGGGCTGTCTGGATCCAGAGTTTCTTGGTGTTCTTTAACTTGTTCCCGGATGAAAACCATTAACTCATTGGCATTCTGCTTGATCTTCTGGTGTGGCCCAGGGAAATGCTTGATGAAGGGCACCAAGTTGAAAAACTAAGATAGACAAAAAGATGGGTGCCTTATGTTTCAAAAATCTTTCAGATTTGAAACTTGTTTTCAGTGCATTTAATTCACGCCATACAAAATATTCATATCATCAGGTAAATATTTGATAGCTAGATATCAAATAAAACAATAATTGAAAATGCAAAAGTTAGTCAGGAAAGTGTTTAGTGTTGAACGACGAGACCAGACAAAGGTGATCTGAAGAGTGACTGCTTCCATGGTGCATGATTTTCAGTGCCAGGTGTGATGGCTGACAGTGCAGGTGTGGCCCAAAAGGGATGCTAGGAAATGTAGTTCTGTGGTCACTGAGGATTATGACAGTACACCTCCCCTACCAGAAGGTTTAACTCAAGCCTAATAGAATCCATTCAACGAGGGAAGGAGGGAGGGAAGCCTTGAGGGTGGTACTGGCAAGCCATGGCCAGAGCCATGGAGGCGCCAGTAGCTCAGGATGCCAGGAAGGTTCCTGTGGTAAAGGGAAAAGTTTGCAGTGTGGGCATCAAAAGGACAGTCATCCTGAGTGAGGAGGATTAAATGCTGTAGTTAAATCCTAAACTTGCTGGTTCACTGTGACTGGAGCGGACTCTGGACTGAGTCTCAGGGCAGGAACGAACATTTCTCTCACTGGAACAGACTGGAACAGTATATGGAAATGAGGACCGAAGATTGAAAATCTTCTTAAGAGCTGTCTTGATGGCCATGATAATTGGGAGCGCTAGCTTTTCCATCAGGTCCACACTGTTTGAGACAGCTTTCCTTGCCCGAAATAAAACTGGAGCACTTGCCGTGATGGTATGGAAAGCTGCCATTACATAATCGTGAGGAGGGAAGCTGGCGTTGGTTTCACCCACATAAGACATTAACCTCTCCCACAGTGAAGGACGAACCACTTCACAACAGTGCACAATCAAGCTCAATTATAAATTGCACTCCAGGTAACAGACCAGTAGCTGACGTTGGCAACTGTTGATAAAGGTCCTCCTCTAATCCGCCCCAGAAGATTGTTTACAAGGTTCCATCATTCCATGGAAGCAGGTTGGAAAGAAGAAAGATATTCCTTAACATAATTTTCAATTGGATGACCATCTTGTGAAATGGAGAGGAGATGCTACTCTGGGTCCAAAGATATGATGTCCATGGTTGATATGATGTCCATGGTTGATGTTGGTTAAGGTCTGGTCTGCGGTCACGGAACAGAAGATGGCAAACACGGGTAACTTCCAAACAGAGTTTATTGATTGACATAATGGACTTGAGCAGGTGAGTAACTATTTTGCAGATTAATATGGTAATACTAGCAGGAAATAGTGATGAGTCGTTCATAAAGGTTCATTGCGTCTGTCACGTGAAAAATGAACGAAAGACTCGGAAGGTAAAGTAATTTATTTTCCTTGTAAATTATTTTTCACTGCATTACAATGATTTCTTAATTCAGAATATGATCAAGATTGCATTGGTGGATGTGTTCAGGGAATTTGCCTGTTAAAAGTATGACATTTGAAGCCCCTTAAATGAACGAAATGACTCGAAAAAAGATTAGTTCATTTTGATGAATGAGTTCGAACAAGAGAGTCAGTAAAATGATCCGAACGTCCCATCACTAGCAGGAAAGTGACAGTTCTTATCTGTTGCAGACGGGGATGAAGAATTTGAGGAAAACCTGAAGACTTAAAAAGGCGAGAGGATACCAGAAGATGGATGAAGGCTGAAAAAAAACTGGACAGTTCGAGACAGGTGGGTAGTCAGGTAAGTGTTTAGTGTTGAACGACAAGACCAGACAAAGGTAATCTAAAGAGTGACTGCTTATATGGTGCATGAGTTATTATCAGTGGCAGGTGTGATGATAGCTGACTGAGTGCAGGTGGGGACCAGAAGGGATGCTGGGAAATGTAGTTTGGAGGTGACTGGACTGGTGACTGGGGATTGTGACAATATGGATGCACTATTGTTTAAATTCTACCATTATTTACTCAAAGAGTGGCCATAGCCAATAATCAATAAATTAATAAAATAAAAATAATAATAAAATAGTTTCTGAGGGAGATTGAGTACATGGATGAGGATAATGCAGACATAATAAAGAGAAAGCCAGTGATGATTTTTTTCAGCAGTGTAAATCTTTTTTTTTTTTTTTTTTAAATGAAGAATGTGATCATACCTGTCCTGCAGGTGACCCTGCTAGCATTAAATTATCATTCAGGATTTTCAGAAGGCATGAGAAGCGTTTGTCATCATAATCGAAGCGATCTCCAAACACGATGGAACAGATAATGTTGGAAGCTGCATTCTGTAATGCATGCAGGGGGTTCATTGGCTTGCCTACAAAGAAACATGCATTAGTATGAGTGGAAAAAGGCCAGTTTTTTTTTTTTTTTATCCAATCCATTTTAAATAGAAACTTTAATTTAAATTGAAAGGCTTAACGGTGGTTTCCATTAGAGAAGGTGAAGGTTTCCTGCGCATTGTCTTTTTAGTGTGGCAAACTAATTTAATTCCAATTAAACTTTTACCCAACTCGATTGTATCACGACTGTAACGACTGAGACAAATCAGACACAATTATTTGTTACATTTAACAAACAAAAATCTATAAAACTCACACTGGGATATGGTCCCATCCCCCCAACAAGGACAAGAAGGGTCTTGGTTACCATAACTACAATCAGATAAGTTGGTTTTATTGCTGTTAAATGTGGACACGTGGAAAAAGCAGAAGCTAAAGGAAAGACCCACCGCCCTTAAAACAGACTTTCCTGCATTAAGGGGAGACACAGGTGAATAAAAAAAAAGCAAAATAAATAAATAATAGATATCAGCATGAAACTACCCCAGTTGATTACTGACATTAAGACAGATATTTGTTTTGTATATTTTAATTTACATATATTTCCAGAAGAGAAATCTGAACATTAGATAAAGCCAGATTCAAAATTCTTGTTTCATTTCGTTGACAGAGTCAAAGGTTTTTACAGAGGGGATTTTGGATCTCTTTTTATCTCTCAATCAGAAAAAAAAAAAGTAAGCCATAAATCCATTTGCTCCCCGTTTTTAGGTTTAAAATGTTGTATAAATCAGAATCTGAATGATATAGGAACAAACCCCTCAGTAAAAACCTTAAGAATATAGATAGGAATAGAACTGGAAAGTTTGGCGTGTGTAAGTGCTGCTAAAGTGGAGATTTCTGCCTCAGAGTGAGAAAAAAAACATTGAGAAAACAGCTTCAAAATTGATATCAGCCAATGAGATTTCACTTTTAGAGTTAAATACCCCATTGTACTTTCACAATTGGTTGCTGATAAAAAAAGGAAATGACCATATTTGGACCCGGCAACACTGTAGAGGAGAGATTCTAGAGGAGCTTTCCAACGGTATATGTGATGACAGGTTGCAGACAGCAATCGCGGAGCAACATTTTGATTTAGAACGCCAACTTTTGTTGAATTTAGGAGAAATATACAGACGCAAATAGAAAAAGTGTAGTAAAATAAAAGACCTAAATGTGTATTTTGGACTTTTTCACCACAAGTCTGAAAGACATGTTATTGAAGACAAATAGCCCAAAATCTCAAAATTGACCTGCTTTGTCTCCCCTTAATTTATGGTCGAACTGATCTGTAAATGAACATGCACCCCAGAACATTGAGTGAATGATTTACTGTTTTGTGTAGTGTCTTTTGATACTATTATGTCTTTTTGATACTATGTATTTTATGATAGAACCAACGGTAAATGTAACCCCACCTATATCGTGTCTCCCATCTAATTACGTCAGCAGCGTCACTGAACGTGGATTGACAACAGAACCGGAAGAGAATGCAATGCTGAATAAAGTCGTAGTTTGTTTTTTTTTGGACCAAAATGTATTTTCGGTGCTTTAAAAAATTCTAACTAACCCACTGATGTCACATGGACTACTTTGATGTCTTTATTTCCTTTCTGGACAAGGACAGTATACCATACATTTTCAATGGAGGGACAGAAAGCTCTCGGACTAAATCTAAAATATCTTAAACTGTGTTCCGAAGATGAACGGAGGTCTTACGGGCTTGGAACGACACGAGGGTAAGTCATTAATGACATCGTTTTCATTTTTGGGTGAACTAACCCTTTAAACGATATCGATTTTTGTGTGAGTTCAAATGTTAATTTCCTTTGTTTTCTCAGAGAGTAGCCCTTCTTGGTCCAGACAGCTCGGCATCAGTAAGATTCGTGAAAGTCTCTAAATAAGCATCTTCAACATTTAAAAACCAAAATGTCAATGTCACATACACAATAATTAAGGAAGAATCATTTGTGTTCTGTTTGACACAGATGAGCTAGTTTGAGAGTTCTAATAAAGGATGAACATTTCATACCTTCTGCTTTAAGAATTTCAGAAATCAGATATCGGCTTTCCTCTATCACCAGCTCTTCTACTGATTTCTTCCCCGGGCCAAAATTCCTGAGCGTGTGCAGAGCAAACCTTCTCTGCTGCCTCCAGGAGTGACCAAACGTGACCATTATTATACCTGAGAAAAAGAGAACAAACGTTCTAATCTCAAATCTGATCTATTGCTCAATTTATAGTCTACACATTTTTGAAGCAAAGTGACTCAAGATCGACTTTACACTATTAAAAATAAAGGTTCTTTATTGGCATACATATGATTCCATGAAGAATATTTAATATCTACACAATTTTATTGCACAAAAGATTCTATGGTGGCAAAATATTTTTGAATTTTTCCCTTACACTATTCCTTACTCAGGTGAATTACCTTATTTACTGAGGATCTTTAGGATACCCAAAATGATTCTTCTACAGCATCGCTGTGAAAACACCATTCTGGGACCTTTGATATTAAAGGGTTAGTTCACCCAAAAAATGTAATTCTGACATTAATTACTCACCCTCATGTCATTCCAAACCCGCAAGACTTTCATTCATCTTTGAGCACAAATGATGATCTTTTTGATGAAATCTGAGAGCTTTCTGTCCCTTCATTGACAGCTACACAACTACCACTTTGATGCTTCAAAGTGTTCATAAAGAGATCGTAAAACTAATCCATATAAATTGAGCTGTGCAATTTCTGAAGAGGCTTTATACGACGAACCGATTGAATTTAGGCTTTTATTCACTTTTAAAATATTGATCAGCAAACAGAAAAGCACACTTGACGTGCGAGAACAAACCTCATTGATTCTTGCAGAGGCTCAAACGTGCTGCATAACACGAGAATTAACCTCATTGGTTCTTGCAGAAGCTCAAACTGTTATGATCCTGTCTCTTTCCCTTTCCTCTGCCTGGTCACACACAGTATTGTACACGCACTTTTACTGATTCGCAAATACACTCTCTCGCTCTCTCCCAGCTGTTCCTTGTTGCTTGTTCCCTTCTGCTTCGCTCTAGTTTCCCCGCACCTGTTCTCTCTTTTCACTGATTACGCTTGCGACTTCTTCCCTCTCTTTTCCCTGTCTCTTTGTCAGATTGTTTGTTAACCTCTGATGAAAGAAGCTACACAGATTTTCCCTCCTTCAGCCTGCTTTGTTCCTGTCCTGGTTGATCCTTCCGGGAATCCTCAGTGTCATCTGAACTAAAAATTGTTCTCTGTGTTTATTCAGTATCCATGCTGCCTGAGACAGCAACTGTTTCCCGTTGACCATCCTCCGGGTGTTTCCCGACTGAACAGAGGCAAGCCGCCGCCCAATCCTTGCAATCAGCCGCCCTCACTGTTCCAGAGTGGATATTTCTGTTAATTTTTATCTGGCCCTAATTCCGGCTGTTTTCTGTTGAACATTTTTCTGCAAGAGCATTTCTGTTGCTGGTGGCTTCCTCATTTAATATCATTAAAGACACTTTGACTGTGGTTCGCTGTTGGGTTTTCTTTCACCTTATAACACAAACGTGCTGTGTAATACGAGAAGAAAACTCATTGTTCTCATACATCAAGCGAACATGCTTTAAGCTTCCGTTTATCAGAACTGATGAGTGCGTTGATGAATATGTGAATAAAAGTCAAAATTCAATCTGTCAAATCTGATATAAAGCGAGTCTCTTTAGAAAATTTGGAATAAACCTCTCATTTCATATGGATTAGGTTTATGATCTCTTTATGAACTTTTTGAAGCGCCAACGTGGTAGTTGCGAAGACTGTCAACAGAGGGACAGAAAGCTCTCAGATTTCATCAAAAGATCTTCATTTGTGGTCCGAAGATGATGGAATGTCTTACAGGTTTGGAATGATTTGAGGGTGAGTAAATAATGACAATTTTCATATTTGGGTGAACCTTTAGGAGTGACTCTAAAGTTTAGAATGAAATGGTACAAAATCCACATTTCAAGCATTATATAATACCATACTCACCAAATCCATTAGTTAACCATTCTATAAGAGGGATAGCCGGTCTTCCAGAAAAAGCTTCCTGAACCAGGGCTTCCTTCGTGACCTGGACTGTGTTGAGGATTATTATCGGCTTCCTCCCAAGATACACAGTGGACATTTCTCCATACTGTGGCAACTACTCGGAGAACATTCACAAGTGCATTAAAACTAAGAAATGTTTCTGAACAAATGTTTTGTAAGTTAAACATCCAATTTCAAAATAGGTCAGAGTTCAATGATAAGCCCATACCAAGAAAACTGCAAAAACTCACTGATTTTACGAACTCCCTTGGCTCCTTTATAAAATGTGGTAATGATCCCACAAAAGGTAAAGGTCTGGGACCAGGAGGAGTTTGATCTCTGTAGGAATTAATCCTGATGATCTCGAACAGAACCAGAAAGATCAAGCCCATAAACAGAGTCAGGCCTACAGAGGCCAGGTCTAACATCATGAGAGTCGCCCACATGATGACAGATTCCAAAGACAAACTCAAAAGCAGCGGACCACTGGTGAGCTTTATAAAAGCAAAGCAGAAGAGGGAGGAGACAGTGGGAGAGATTGACATGCTGTAAACTCTTTCAGCTGTGTTAATCCATGTGTTTATCACCAAAAATGATGAATGCAGCTGTTTAGGCCTATTTGCATACCAATTTATCAATATCATAATTAACAGAAATTATTATATAACACCAATGCTAGAAGTGGGACGATAAGCACCAGTATGTAGTACCGGCACTTGCATATTTGAATCTGTAGCGCAATTATTAAGTAATTTGTAATTATTAAGACCCCTGCCAAATTATTTTGATTGCCTAATCCTAACCCCATCCCTAATCATAACCCCTCCCCCACAACTAATGCTAAACCTACCAATGCTATGGGGGTAATAATTTGGAGGGGGTCGAAATTCGGCACAACACCGGCACTTCTTACATGTTCCTGGTACCAGCCACACCGAAACAGTGTAGAATCAGGCTAATTAATTGTATACATCGTACGTTCTGAGCTTTTATAAGCTGTACGGACTGCACGGATCAATTATCTGCCAATATGTATGAGACTGAAGCCCAATTGTTTAATTTTGCATGAATTGTGAGATTTGTGTGTGAGCTGTTCCTCGGATACAATGTGCGACTCATTTGAATTCTATTGACAACATAGTAAAATGCAATTGAAGCAAGTTGAACATGATCTTAAAACAGCCACAAAAGACTGAATTCCAGCATGTAATAAAACCCCTACTTATCTGGAGAGAAGATGTCAAAGAAAGAGCATAGGTCACTGTCTTCCTCACACTCCTCTCCTCGCCCATCTGAGCCCCCCTTTCCTTTCTTACTGGCCCAAGTCACTGAAACCTCACTAAAAATGTCCATATAACACATATAATGTATCTTGTGCATCCATTGGTTTTTACCTTTCATGTTTGGTCATGGTTGGTTCATTTGTCTGGGTGTGATTAGTAAAATGTTCTCAATATCACAGCAGTAGAATAGATCATGACAAAACTTAGTTATCACTTCTGTTCTCCTGTTGTGGGTGGTGTCTCTTCAAGATCTCTGATAAACTTTGGTTCTCACGCCCGAAACCTGCAGGTGAAAACGGGGCACATGAAAAAGGCCCAACAAAATTCCTAAATATTTCTAAATATTTACAGCTCTTTTGTTCTGGTCTGGATTTTTAAGGGAGTCATTGGGATTCTGTAAGCAGAAAACCATGTGCTAAGGAAACTCACACGCTGCTGTGTGTCTCTCTGTCTATGAGCAATTGATGTTATGTATTTATTATTTCTGAAATGGCATCTTTATATTTAATTATGTAATTGGCATTGTAACAGTTCTTTGTTGTGTGAAGGAGGAGGCGGGAACTGGGAAACATTTAAAGACTTTAAGAACAAAATAAATGAACAAATACAGAATGAAAGTGTTTCAAGTGAACCCTCCGCACCACCTCCTTCGCACCACCAGAGGGAGATATCACCTGAATACTGCCCGTTTCTCATTTGGACTTCATCTCCCATAGGCCCTCATTCCTGGGACTGATTACACACACACACCTGTAGTTCATTATACACACACACTACTTAAGCACACCACTTACACAGTATCAGTTCGAAGTCTTGTTTTGCCCCGGTGAACATTTCTGAGCATTGATTCCCGTTTATAGTATTTTTCCCGTATTTGACTTGGATTGTTTTTCGTATTCTGTTTGTTTGCTGCCTGCCCTGACCTTTGACTGCCTTTTGGACTCTGTTTGTTTGCTGCCTGCCCTGAACTCTGTCCGTCTTTGGAGTCTGCATGTTTGCTGCCTACCCTGACCTCTGCCTGTTCCTGTTAATGCGGTTGCAACTGTATCTTATACTGCTTGTGAATTTGACTATCAATAAACTACAGATGGATCCTCACTCCGCCTCATTACATAAAGAAAAGACAGCAGCCCCTCACAGACGACCGCTGTCACATATACAGTAACAAAATAAAACACAACATAAATCCAGGCCTAACCTCTCTCGTCCTTCACTGTCGTCGCTTCTTTTATGCTTCTGCTCCTCTGTAAGAGATATGAGACGGGTGCGCCGCTCAATAGTAATCACGGCACCGGCCTTGCGGCGGTCTCACGGCTCTCAGCCTTGTCCTGCGACACAGGCGTGATACATTTTTACCTGACGAATAAAAGGCTTTCTGTCATGGCAACTCTGTGATGGCATGGTAATGGATATGGCATTGTTGATATGTTTGGTCTTGGTAGAATTGATTTGCTAATTGATTTGCTACACTGCTGCTGCTGCTGCTGTTGTTATTGCTGCTGTTATTGCGGTGGTTTTGCTGTTATTACTGCGGCTGTTGTTGCTACTGCTGCAAAGCAAGTGTGGGACTCGCTACTGCAAATACATTCAAGACACGCTTTTGTGAGCAAGTAAGACGTGCTGCTATTTATACTGAAAAAAAAAATCTGTTGTGAACTAAATACTACAGAAAAAACAAATGTAATTTCTACGTGAAAAATTTAGTTTGGGCAAGAATAATAAAAAAAATAATAAATTTTATATTAGTTCTCAATTCAAGCTTGTAGAAATCAAAGAGTAAATATCAACGTTATAACATTAAGTAAAACCTACTCAACTTTTGTGATACTGGTGTTTCCATTAGGCACTGGGGCATGAATAAATAATAAGGTTGATTTTTCGCTGTTTTCCAGGTCTATTTACACTGTTATCATTGCTTTTGTTGTTAGGTTTAGTAACTTGCCGTTTTGAGACATCTGGAGCTCATTTTCTACTCAAAATGACATTCATACTCAAAAACGATCCATCAAATGTTACCGTCATTGTGTATTGTGTACCAAGTATTGAGGTCTTTGTGTTCAAAATTTGAGTATTGAGTAATACTCATTATACTTTTATTGAGTAAGTATATCATTATCTATTGTGTTATTTACTTAAATGTTTCTAAGTAAAGCATACACTTTGAAAGTGTGGTTTAATTCAGTATTACATTGCATGAAAATTTGTCTAGAGAGAATTCTAGAGAAATGCCATGATTAAGTTTACTTTATGAGCAAATTTTCTTTCAACACAGAGAAATTAAGTAGTTTGTACAAAGTCAAATCAAGTCACCATTTTAAAAAGCGCTTTTAACAGTATGGATTGTTTCAAAGCAGCTTTACAGTCATACTAGAAATTACCGTAACAGATTTTTTTAAGCATTAGGATAAAGTTATTGTTCAGCTAAAGTTAGTTTTGATTGATTCACTTCCATTGCGAAGATCATTAGTTATTAACTTAGGGGCAGCTAACATGACACCGTTCTAACAGAAAAACTCTAACACGCTTGCCCATCCGCACAAAACAGTGCCAGGTGTCTCGAGAACGAACTCCCTGAAATTGGTTCGAAGGTGCAAAAGATAATCCGGTATCTCTGCGCAATCCTCAAAAGCGCAAACACGCGAAAACGCAGCCGGCGCGCACATGCGCATCACGTGTTCAGTTCATAGGTATGCGTGTTTGAATATATATGTTTGCAGGCGTGTAGTCCTTCACAAATCAACCCTTAACAAACTACTTGTCTAGTCTTAAAAATGTATAATACATAAATGTTGTCGTGTCTGCGTATCCACGCGAACCGGAATTATCCAGACAATGTTTTATCTGTTCAGAGGTAAAGTGAGGGAGGCCTTCACAGGCGAGAGACTAGTTGACACTTCAGGACTGCGTTGTTGTCGTGTCCAGGCGCTGGTCCTTCACGAGGACTATAATGCGTTAAGAGCTCTCTCAAGTACTAGGGAGCAAAACCATTTAGTGCTTTGTAAGTAATCAGCAATATTTTAAAATGTATACAATGTTTAATAGTAGGGTCACGATTCTCCAAATCCTCGATTCAATTAAATTTTCGATTTTAAGGTCACGTTTCGATTCTCGATTTTTACATTTATTTTTTTTAAAGCCGAAACCGGCCAATCAGGATGCTCTCTGTCTTACATGCGCTTCATAAGGCACATACGTATGTTCTCTCACTCTCTGCCGTGCGCGCGCTATACGGTTTGGAGCACAGTTTTTTTCTGTCTCGCATGCGCGCTCTTGCTCGCTCACTCTAGATTCCGGGAGATTTGAACTAATTTGCGGGCATCCGAGCCGCTATCAATATGCGGGCGACTCACGGAACTTCCGCAAGACTTGGGATGTCTGCAAAGTAAACTGTGGATTTTTTTAAAGCGCGAACGTTGTCAACATAACTCACTGGAAATCCAAAAAACTTCCACACCTGCGACTTCAATGAAAGAGGAGGGGGTTCAAGTTCTGTCGATGGGTCTCCTGCATCTGCAGTTATGCTATCTTTTGAATGCCTGTAGCTAAGTTAGAGGAGGTTGACCATAGACTCGCAGCTTTTCAACACGCGTGTTTTTTCCCGCTTGGCACGCCGACCGGACGTGACATGGGGGCGTGGCAGCATCGACGATTCCATTTTTTAATTCGAAGTTCGAGATTGTGAATTAATTTCGGTTGATTTCGATTTAAAATCGAAATCGTGACACCCTTATTTAATAGGGAGCCAATGCAGTGTTGACATAACCGGGCTAATATGGTCATATTCTTCCTGGTTCTGGTAAGAACTCTAGCGGCTGCATTTTGGACCAGCTGTAGTTTATTTATTAAACGTGCAGGGCAACCACCCAGTAGAGCATTACAATAATCTAGCCTTGATGTCATGAATGCATGAACTAATTGTTCTGCAGATTGTTATTCAGTTGTAATTGAGAGCATATGACGTAATTTAGATATGTTTTTAAGACGAAAAAATGCGATTTTACAGATGACACGTGACTTTCAAATGAAAGATTGGTATCAAAGTGCACACCCAGGTTCCTAAACGATGACTTGACAGAGCAACCATCAAGTGTTAGACAGTATTCTAGATTATTACGTGAGGACGTTTTTTGTCCAATAATTAGAATCTCTGGGGTTTTTTCAGAATGAAG